AGCCTTAATCTTTCACACAACTTTAATTTTATTTTCCTGTTTAATCGTCACCAGCAAATATGTGGGATAAAGATTATTTCTGCCTGCACGGTCCCGTTCTACTGGGGACGCTGTGGAGTTGAGGCAGAGGACACACAGGCTTGATCGGACTCATCGTTGAGATCGGTTCTGTGGCCCAATGGGCACGCGAGAAACAAATCTCTCATCCAAGGAAGTCGCACTGCAGAAGGAAGCCTCTGCCCAGCTCAAGCACAGAAGGTCAGCCGGGACAGGAAGGCTCAGGGCAGAGCTCAGAGAAGGGCAGAAACACCCCGCCTCTCCAGCAAGAGCAGATCGCGTGTCCAGCCCCACTGGCCGGCAGACGTGGGGACCCCAAGCCGGAAGTCCGTGGGCCGGGAAGCTAGCGGAACGTGAGAAGCGGGCAGGAGATTCCCTTCGGGGACAATAACTGTGATCTTCACTTGCTCATGAGATCCCCACGTTTTCCAAGAAACACCTGGCCTTGTCAAGCTTTTGTTGGTCAACGTTGAGCACTTCATTCACCTAATAACTCAATTACAACAAAAAAGGGTAACACAGAAGCAGAGTGTGGTCCCAAAGACTTGGGAGGCCGAGGCCGGAGGCTCACCTGAGTCTGGGTATGAGAATGTCGCTTCAGCAACAGAGCAAGAACCTCAAAAAACAAGCAACCACAACCACACCAAAAACCGAAATGAGGGAGTAAATGCAATCAAGTACAAACAACTAACATCAGGGAACACTCAGGAGTAGAGGCTCCTGGGGGGCCTTCCAAGGTGGACGGGAGTAGAGGCTCGTGGGGGACGGAGGGAGGAGGGACTTCCAAGGTGTACAGTTCCTACTTAGAGCCCTTGGTTGTGGCCACAAAGGACAGGAGACAACAGAGCCACCGCTCTGGACTTCCGAAAGAGACTCAGGATTGGCACTTGTCGACAGGACTTTTTTTATCCTTTAGAATTGTTCTACTGGTTCATTTGAACACTTTCAACATGAAACACAGTGTCCTCCGTGTCCTCACATTCGATCAGCCGTTAGCTCATTCGCTCAACATACGCTTCACCTTTGCATACACGCTTGAGTAGCCAGCTTCTGAGAGCCATCCCTCCTGAGATGACATGAACCCTTCGTGGTTGAAGAGACTTAAATCCCAGCACCCCAATGGGTCTGTTTGTCCAAGGAAAGGAAGGGAACTGTTTGTGAAGGAGATCGGGTATGGGTAGCTCACTGAAACTCACGGATGGAAGCCAGGGGCTTGGTTGCACAGATGGATTCTGTGGTTATTTTTCTTCACTTAACAAGCCCTACTTTCCCTCCCTTGAACTTCCACAGGTCGGAAACACTGTTAGTCTATCATTTGTTTGCATGGACTTTCTACATACACTTCCTCTGAGGCAAAAATTAGATTTACATTCCATCTGTCTTTCTGTGCTCTTGTCTAATAGGCAAATGGAACCATCCGATTTGAAGGAATGAGGTTAGCTGGATGAGACACAGCTCCACCCCAGACTCCTCCTTTAATTGCTGTCATGAAAGTGACAGGAAACATTATCGGCGGTATCCCAACAGGCTTAGCAAACATCCTCAAAATGGCCCCGGGGGAACACAGATTGATTTAGTAGCTGGATGCACAGCCTTAAAGATTCCTTTTAACATTGCTTATAAATTAACGACAGACCCTTGGACAGCTCCCCCCTTCTGGGACCAGGGGGCTAGCAATCTATTTCCATTTGCTGCTATCCCTAGCAGAGGGGGCTATTTACAACGAAACCAAGAAGCTCAGCCATCTGGATCCCCAGCCTCTTCTCCCGGTGCTCCAGTTGCTCCTCGAGCTCTTATTCTGTTCCGAGAGCCAAGCCTTCGGCGCTGGAGGGATCTCTCTCTGTCTGAGATAAATGCATTTAACTCAATCTAGAGAGTTATTGTTCTGAGGCCGGAATATTTTCAGCTCATCTCCGCGCTTGTGTTTCCCATTGTTTAGTGTGTTATTTATCTCTCTCTCGGAGAGCGGCAGAATCTCTCTGACACTCTAAGAAAACAGAAGAAATAAGGAAAACGCCAGCAGGCCTCCCTCCACATACCTTTTTATTTTACCTGTCACAGCACAGTGGCAAAACAAATATAACGATTCTATAAATAATCCGTTGAGTGGCAGAGCGGATCCTCCGTGTTTCTCACGTACTGTTTACTCTTCTCGCGCCTCTCCTGCATTCTTTGCACCGTGGATTTCCTAAAGCAAATCATACTCCTTTTTGTTGTTGTTGTTCAGAAGAAAACCTTGACTATCACACACCCACGAGGCAAACCTTTGATGGGACACAAGGGCCGTTGGTGCCCAGTGCCCTCTGCTCTGACAACTTAATCCAAGCAAATCCAGATCCTCAGTCAGTCCTCCAGCCGCTCAGCGACAGAGGAAAGCTGCCCCCACCGCTGTGGGAGACCTGTCCAAGGCTTCTGCTTACTTTCCTTCTTTGATACAGGGAAATGCCTTGTATCTAGAAGGTGTAGGAAAGCTGGCCTGCTTCGGTCCCACGCTAATATAGGCAGGAAACCCAGCCTCGCAGACATGCGGGCTTGGCACCCTGCATGAGCACTTGGCACCAGAGCCCTTCCAATATGGCCGGTGTGCTGGCCACTGTACTGGTTACCAGGGGGAAACTGACACTCAGAGAGAAAGAAAGAGGGGGGAAAAAAACCAATTTCAACTTCATTCCTCTTTATCATGGTGATAAAATTTGAGTAGCAAACTGGCAATCAAAACCGTTTGGTGTCAGCGTCACCATGATCTGGTTCCAGAACTTTCTATCCCTTTGAACACCTCTGTACTCTTGAGCAGCGATTCCATACCCTCCCTACTCCCTGGTCCTTGTCAGTCTCTGAGAGAGGAGAGGGAAGGCAGCCAGGTGGGGGGATGGATTCCACCTCGTTTACTTATTCACTTTTCATGTTATTGTGCTTTGTTTTTCCCTTTAAATTTCACTTGCAACAGCGACAGAAAGAAGCAACGCCCGGAGTCCCGTCACAGGGAAAACGTTAAGTCGCTCTAAGGAAGGGCGGCGATCGCGCAGCCGCACGGGCTGCGGGAGCCAGGCCGCCTCCCCCCCCCCCTTTCCCACGGACACTCCCTCCATGCCTTGGTGCCTGGTGGCCCCAGCACGACACGACTTTGAAACTCGAGCCCTACGTCCTGAGAGCCCCTAAGACAGGGACACACTCAGGGAGCCCTCCATGGCCAACTGTCATGTTCCCAGAATCCTTTGCTGATGACCTGCAAGCCATGTCTGGCCCCGGAGGTGGCTCTTGATGAGAGCATTGATGAGGTCTCCGCATTCGCTTTTTCTGTCCAACAGGATGAACTCAATCTGCTGTCATCCTGCATCTTCATAGGATGCTTGGAGCTCTGGGCACCATTTTGTAACTATGAACCTAAAAGCTTATGGACTAAACTCATTAATTGATAACAAGCAGAAAAGACACTGGGTCCTAGACACCACTGCTGAGCTGCTAACCGGGGGCTGAAATTGTGCCCTGTAGGGCTTCCTGACGCAAGGATGTATATATTCTGCTCACGTCACACGTGCCAGTACTTGGCATTACGATAGGAAGCATCAGGTGGCCCACAGGAAAACAATTTCCTAATTGCAAAGGAGAACCACCATGTAGTGGCTAAGCTTGGGATGGATGCATCCTCCCCTGGGATCCCCCAACCCAAAAGGCCAGACACGACCTTGGTCACCTAAGTGGGACCTTGACTACAGCTCAGTCACGTTGCATTCACCAGTGTGGCTCACAAGCCCTTCAGGAGAATGGCCTAGAGTTTTGTGTAGTAGACACGTCAATGAAAAAAGAAACAGGGAGGACAGAGCTGTCCCTTGGGGAGGGAGGCCGAGGGCCCTGTTGGTGTACATCCATTGCCGTGAGAGGGACTTTCACCCAAGCCCACAATCGCCTAGAAAATCGCACATGGAGCATATTTAAGTGATTTTTTTTTCCCCTGCCTGATTGGTAGCAAGGCAGAAAGCCCCAAGTCCCTGCAGCAGACTGCAAACATAAATCACTATTTTCCAGTTCAGAACTCTCCATTTGTCTTCAAAGCCCAGTCTGAATTCAGCTCTTGGATGGATTTCTGTCTGGGGCCCCTCTGCGGGGCCTGGGCCTGCATCCTCAATGGCTCTCGCTCCGCCCTGACAGCCATGGCCTCCATTCTACTGCCTGATGACAAAGAGAGAGCCCCTAGCAATCGCTCCGTTTAAAAAAACAAAACAAACGAAACGGAGAGCACATATTGCCAGCGTTTAGATGCCCATCATTTACAGCCGTGAGCAGCGTGCAAACGGGTAAAAAGAAGACCACGGTGCTCCATGGCCGCAGGGCCGCTCCCCAGGTGAGCAGCGGACCATCACCCCCGTGGGCTCCAGTAGCCCGCGCTCCTTCCCACGGTGAGGCTGATGGTCAGGCCCTGCCACCGGGCCTTCTGCCCTAGGGAGCCCCTCGGGGCGGACCGTGGAGTCTGCACACACACAGAAGAACTTTCCAGGTACCTAAACAAGCTCACTTACCAAAGAATCTGTTGCAAACTTTCCAACACGGACTAAAACCCGCGTGGCTTGGTTTCCTCCTCTCACCGGGAGCCGGTCAACTACGACGGGGAGGGGGCCGACAGGCGAGGGTCGCCTGCTTCTCGTGGTGTCCGGCAGAGCCGCGTGGCGGGCTTCATTTTCCACGGCCGACCCCTCTTCACATGGCTCTGGATGAGCGTGCCAGGTCGGTGCTCAGAAATGGGATGGAGCGCCCAGCCTGGGGGCGGGCTCTGAAATGAACCGAATTTGCCTGTTTGAAACAATAGTACTCCTTCCTAAAGACAGTCACTGCCATTATTACCCTGACCTTCACCACCACCACCACCACCACTATTACTGCCACCACCACCACCACCATTACCACCACCTCCACCACCACCATTACTGCCACCACTACCACCAACATTACCATCACCACCACCACCACCATTACTGCCACCACCACCATCACCACCAGCACCACCACCATCACCACCATCATCACCATTACTACCACCACCACCATCACCATCACCACCATCATCACCATTACTGCCACCACCACCACCACCACCACCACCACCTTCACCACCACCACCACCATCACCACCACCACCACCATCACCATCACCACCATCACCATCACCACCATCACCAACACCACCACCATCACCACCATCATCACCATTACTGCCACCACCACCATCACCACCTTCACCACCACCATCACCACCATCACCACCATCACCAACACCACCACCATCACCACCACCACCACCATCACCATCACTACCATCACCAACACCACCACCATCACCACCACCATCACCACCACCATCACCACCTTCACCACCATCATCACCATTACTGCCACCACCACCACCACCATCACCACTATCACCACCACCATCACCACCACCACCACCATCACCACCATCACCACCACCACCACCATCACCATCACCACCACCACCACCACCATCACCACCACCACCACCACCACCACCACCACCACCATCACCACCATCACCACCATCACCACCACCACCACCACCACCATCACCACCACCTTCACCACCACCATCACCACCACCACCACCATGACCATCACCACCACCACCATCACCACCATCACCACCACCACCACCTTCACCACCACCATCACTACCTTCACCACCACCACCATCACCACCACCACCACCATCACCACCACCTCCACCACCATCACCACCACCACCACCACCATCACCACCACCTCCATCACCACCATCACCACCACCACCACCACCACCATCACCACCACCACCACCATCACCACCACCACCACCACCACCATCACCACCATCACCACCACCATTACTGCCACCACCACCATCACCACCACCACCACCATCACCACCACTACCACCACCACCATCACCACCATCACCATCACCACCACCATCACCACCATCACCACCACCATTACTGCCACCACCACCATCACAACCACCACCACCACCACCATTACCACCATCACCACCATCACCACCATCACCACCACCATCACCTTCACCACCACCACCACCACCACCACCATTGTCATCACCATCTTCACCACCACCAGGTCTCTGTGAGATGGCCAGGCCCCTAATCTTCCCAGCAGCCCTTGTCCGTGTCCCTCAGCGCAGTTTCATGAGGAAGCTTCCACTTCTGTTACATCCCCAGGAGCCGCCACCGGCAGGTCGGCTTGCCCCGGCTCGTGGAAGATGAGATGGGAGGGGTGATTGATTTCTCCACGCAGTGTCTAACCCTTGAGTCGGTCTCTTCTGTGCTGAGTGAACGGGAAGCAAATGCTTTGAAGATGACGCGTAAGGTGGAGGTGAATCTGCCGGGGCGTGGTGGACGCCAGCGGCAATGACCTGCTGTGGGCAGACCGGATGTCCCTCCCCGAGGTCATCCAGGCTCCCGTCCCCCATGGTGTCCGCCCTGCCAGGGTGAGCTGCACCACTCACTGCGGCTCGGTGGCCACGCTCCCGACCCACTGCAGAGAAGAGCTCGCAGACAGAGGTAGACGCACGCTGTCCCCAGAGACGGGACACACAGAGCGTTCACGCAGGCCATGACTAGCCTGGGCATTGAGAAAGAGCACACAGCGCCAGAAGTGCCGTGTGGGAGACCCGGGCGTGCGCGTGCGATCCAGACCTTCTAGTGCTCTGGAAACACAGGGGTGTGCGATCCAGACCTTCTACTGCTCTGGAAACACAGAGGTGTGAGATCCAGACCTTCTACTGCTCTGGAAACACAGGGGAGTGCACAATCCAGGAAAACTTCTAGTGCTCAGGAAAAGGCATCCTGAGCCACACACGGGCAAGCCAGCAGGGCCGTGTGGAGTGTGCTTCACAAGCATGTCCGGAGACATGTAATGGACAAATAAGTAGTGACATTTTCTCACACTGATACCAACACTGATGTCAGTGAGAGTCACGAAAACATGCCCAACGCCAGGGATGCGGCTCAGTACCGCTGCATTGAGCTGCAGAGACCAGCAACTACAATGCAGCGCAGCCTAAGGCGGGCCGGCCCCATCTATGCTGTGAGAGATCAAATCCGCAGTGATGTGCAGCGGAAGGGGGTGAGGGAGGCCCCGGCTCGGATGATCAATCTTGATGCTGGTGGGATCGGAAAGTCTCCTTGCTGGAAATCCAAACACACACAGAGTGCGATGGCTCCCTTCTCTTGCTGGTTTCTGAATACCTCATCTTCCTCCCAGGTTCTCGTACCCCACCCCTGTCTTCCTAAGTCAGCTCTCTGTCAAAGTGTCTTCCTTTGTAAACTGTCCTGCTCCGATTCTGAGCGGTGAAACCCAACTCCTACAGCTCCCGGTTCTATGGAGAGTGCCCGCGGATCTGCACAACACCGGGGCAGCTGGTGGACGCACCGGGCACGGCACAGGACGGTAACGTGGTGTGGACGCACACACACAGAGCTGTGGGTGGCTCGAACTCCCCACAGAACCGGCTTCCCTGCTCCGGGCCCGTGAACACTTTCATTCGCCACAGGGCAAACAGAATCGCGCCCCGTGCTTGGAAATGTCAGGCCACGCACCGGGCACCTGGCCACGGCCGGGTCTAACCACTCATGCCTTGGGAACCTCGCGTCATCTTGTCAAGAGTGGCCCGTGCAAAGGGCGGTGCTGAGGCAGGCCGTGGCTCGTGGGACCTCGTTACTCACGGGTTTGGGGGCGGGGGCTGAGCCCTGGCGCCCCGCACCCCCGCCCCCGCCCCGGGAGCTCTGGAGATGGGGGAGCTGACCAGAGCCTCCTTCCTAGCTGAGCTTGTGTTCTACCTCACCCGATGTTTTCTTTCGCGGTTGACTTGCGCCTCCGCGCTGAAAGCCAAAGACCCATTAGAGAACGCAGGGAAGGCTAGGTCTCAGGGCAACGTTCTCCCAGGTTCACGGTGAGCCACTCAGATCTGTCAAACGCTGGGTCTTTACCCTAAGATAAGAAGCAGGCACTGGAAAAGGAGAGGAGAAAGAATCAGCCAGCAGGGCAAAGCTCGGGGCCCAGCAACCTGCGGGGGGTCTGCGGCTCGCTCCTCCCAGCCCTCGGCTGCTACATCCACGTTAACGGGTAATTTATGGATGCAATTAATAGGACCCAATCAAGCAAGGCCGAACGCACTGTGCTGTGTGTAACAACAGATGTTTCCAGTAGTGGCTGTGTTAGAATAATAACAACACGGAAATAAACGCCCGGTTGTCAGTCCTGTGGCGTGAGCACTAACAAGACGCTAGAACCTGGGGCCCACGAGCGGGGAGACGCTCCGAGTGTGCTGCCGGGACCAGCCTTTGCTGCCTTACCCCACTGGGCCGCCCTGTCCAGTTCTGGGCCTCGGTTCTAGTTTGTTCCTAGGATGCCTTCCCATCTAGGGAAAAATATTCTTTAAAACATTGTGGTATTCTGTGCCCTTTGCCTTGTCTATAAGTTTATCTGATCTGTGGGAGGGAAAGGCAGCTCAGCACCAGCAGGACAAAGGATGATCTCCTGCAACCATGCTACTCACTAGACACCACGGTGGAAATGAGCTATACAACCTGGGGAGGGGAGGCAGTGCGGGGGGGGTGCGCTGGAGAAAACGGAGGAGGGGCAGCAGTGTTTAAAAGGAAATGTGCTCATTACGGCACTTTGGTAACCCCAAGCCGTATTTAAAACAACAACAACAACAACAAACCCATTGTGGTAGCTATAGCTGCCCTGGGTCTGCCCCCCGAGCGCCCCGGCCGGCCGCTGGCCGCCACCCAGGGCTGCTCAGCTCAGCGAGGGGTGGGCTCCGTGCCCCTGCCGGGTCCTGGGGCAAAATCATTCCACTAGTCCCCGGGGACAGGTGTGTGCCCGCCCCCACCGCCCAGTGGCCTCCTCGGTGGGACGCAGACTCACATCTGCATCTCCTCACCAGAGACCCCAGCCTCCTACCAAAGACTCACGAGGGGAGCGGGCAAGGCCCAGGCCAGATTCAAATGCTGTCCCGCTGCGGAAGCTACACGGCCCGCCTGGGTCCTGGGCAGCGTGGGGGAGGGACGCAGACGCCTTCACCCGCTGGCCCTGGGGCTGACACCGAGCAGAGTCCCCCCTCAGGGGCTGGGCCTGTGTGTGTGGAGATCTCACCCCCCCCCCCCACCGCACACCCCAGGGCTCTCTGGCTTCAGAGAGGTTGCTGGCTGTGGGGCAAATGCCGGTTCACCTCTCAGAGCGTCTTAGAGCCAGCCTGATTTTGAATCTCACCTCTGCCCTTCGCTAGGCGGCCTTACGCTCGTGCAAGGATGTCACCAATGTGATGTCCCTTGTGCAAGGGGCCCAGCCGGGAAAGGAGGCGAGCAGCTGGGACTCAGCCCCAAATCCATGGTGCCCCGAAGCTCATGCTCTTGGCCGTTTCCCACCCAGGACCCCAGTGGCCCGGTGGCCCCAGTCTGCCAATGGCCCTGGACCAGAGGCGGTCAGGATGGGGAGTGAGCGACACAGGAAGGGCACGCTGGCCTTCCCTCTGGCAGGAGTCGCTCAGGCCCCCCTCCAGCGGATTCCCGTCTCCAGCCCCTCAGGTGACCCCTGTCTTCCCAATAGTGTGGGCGGCGCGGGGAGATCTTTGTCCAGGTTTCTCAGATGTAACTGCCAGATTGTCAACTATTTTTGAGACAGGGCCTTCCAGGGGAGCTCAGACTGGCCTTGACCCCTGGGTCCTCCTGAGCGCCTGGAATTCAGGTACACATTGTCATGCCCAGCGTTTTCTGAGGAATGCTGGCTTATTCGGTGTGGAGATTATTCATTCCAGCTCCAAGTGGCTCATTTATTCTGATTTTGTTCAGAAAGCTTGCAATGCATTTCTTGACTTTATCCTTCTGGAATTAAAGAATACATTTAAAAAAGAACATAGTAGCAATCCTCAATCTCTTCTAAAGATGTAGAAAATTCCACTTAATCTGATGGCCTTGGTGTGTTCCTCCTCTCTACGCTCCTAGCTGAGTCCTGACTTTCATTTGATGGGGAGTGGAGTGATCTTCAAGGTCGGTTCGGTCCGTCCTGTTTGCTCCAGGGTGGCAGGGAAGATGGAGTGATCTCAGGGGACTCTCAGTGATGTTGTCCAAACTCTGTTTCCAGCAAACAGAATCGAGGTGACTTCCCAGGGTCAGGTACAACGCTACTGCCTGTTCCTCCAGCTCGAAACCACAGCGACTGAATTGCTCACTACAGTCGTAAGTGAACATGGAGACTTGGGGAGTATCCCAAATCCTGCAGCAGGCCAGCTCAAGTACCTTGTTTCCGCCCGTCCCTCCTCCACCCATGACGGTGGCCCAGGAATCCGACAAGCTCAAGGAGCCTGGGCCGCTTCATCCGCAGCGTTTCCCCTCCAACGCAGACGTCCCAAACGCTCGCCATGCTTCTGGGAGTCAAAGTAATCGGAAAAAGTGGGAAATCTGCCTGCACGTAGGGGAAAAGAACATTTAAATTTACCAAGCGTTATAGTTCTCAGACTGAAATATGTCCACTGTAAATCCCCGCTTTTGCTTTGCAGTCGAAGTGTAAAGTGAATTCTAGTCCCTGAGGCTGTGGAGAAGGAAGGGGAATGTCTGCTGAGGTTTTGGGGCACGTCTCTTTCTGCCTCGCCCATGGTCCGGAGCAGCAGAGCAGATACCGCAGGCCGACGCTCACGTCTGCACACCAGAGGAATCTGCTCTGTGGCAGCGCCCCCTCGGATGCATTGCTTCCTAGTTGGCTTGTCTACCATGATGGTGTCATTAATCTATTAAAGCAAAATCCTTGAAGTACCCGGAATTCATTCGGCTCTAACCTCCGCTTACGGGAATGGAAATCTTGTTTCTAATGATAATTCCACCGACAGTTCAATCTGAACGAAACACACGATGCAACTTCTACAGCAGGAGCGCAGCGCTGGAAGGGGAAGCTGAGGCCTTATGTGAGATCACCATTCGCCGGTAGCAAGGTCCACGTCTTGTTCCTGCTTTTCATGGGTGGGGAAAGCCACAGGCCTGTCGCTGCCCTTTGCTGAAATTGAGGCCGGAAGTGAAATCCAGGCTGGGGAGGGGCCGTTGTGAAGAAACCCCATCGGCCCATGGGCGGGCAGAGGCTCTGGCACATGACCACCCTGCCAGGGTCGCTGGGAGGCAGCAGCGGAGGCTGGCACCCTGGAGGAAGGAAATGCTCAGTGTGGTGGCGCTCTGGTGATTCCATCAGCACCAAGGGCTGCTCACGGCCTGCCCTCTCTCCACCTCCTGACAGCCCCAGGGCTGTGGGAAACATGGCGGCCGCCAAAGCCAAAGGGCGGGGAAGGAATGGAAGCAGGGCAGAGAGAAATGGAGGGACAGGTACCATTACTTACTTTTGTCTTTTCAGTTTTCCTACTT